TATATATATATATATATATATATATATATATAATAAATTTAATTTAAATTAAAAATATATATATAATATTTATATATTTAATTAAAATATATAGATACCCGGTCCGATACTTGGCCCCATACCCGTTTAAATAACCGTTTATGCTAAACGAGGATACCCGTTTCCCCGTGGTTTTCCCCGATTACCTGATGGGGATCCCCGTTTAAATCCCCGTGGTTTTTTAAGCGAGGACGAGTATGGGTTTTTTAAGCGGGGACGGGGACGGGGGACCAATACCCAGCCCGAACCCAGCCCGTTGCGATCCTTACTAGTCCATTTACATTAGTTTACATAGGCCCAATACATAAGCCCACTATTTTAGTACAAAAATATATGCATTAGTGCTAGTCTATTTACATTAGGATTTATGGTTTAGGGTTTAATGTTTAGTGTTTATGTTTTAGGGTTTAGGGTTTAGGGTTTCTATAACTTATATACATTATTACTTTACATAGTTTATGCATAGTGTGTTTATAAACTATATAAGTAATTTACTTTATATAGTTTTTATATATATAGGTTATATATATATATAGTTTATATATACTATACATGGTTTATACATACATATTATATAAAATTATTTAATAAAATTAATAAAATTATTTAAATGTAAATTATATAAAACATGATGAATTAGGTGTTAAATAATTAGTATGTCACATTGCATATTATATGGTTCATAAATAGTAGTATACGTCATATTAATTTCATTTGCATAATTAGTATTTTTGTTGCATGTTAGGTTAATTCACATTAATAGCCCATGTATTTTGTTGTTATGAATAAGTAATAATAAAACCAAAAAATAAGCCTATTTGCATTAGTGCTAGTCCACTTACATTAGTTTGCATAGGCCCAATACATAAGTCCATTTTTTTATTACAAATATATATGCATTAGTGCTAGTCCATTTACATTAGGGCTTATTGTAACCCCCTATACCCAGCCTATGCATTTTGACTAAGTCTAGCAGATTACATTAAAGATTCTTAAAGACATTTTTCCAAAAACATTATTCGATAATTTAAAATCATAATAAAAATGACATATGTAAAAGTATATAATAATTAGCAATAAAAATAAAATCCAACTCATGAATATAAAACTAAAAACAAAATAAAAAATTAATTTAAAACATGTCGTAAAATCTGGATCAGGAAAAACGGAATATCAGTAGCAAAAGCAGTAGTAGTTATAAAATCAAATACTTCGAAATAAAGGCCCATGTTTCAATAATAAAGTGAACTTGCAAAATAAAAATATTACATTCAGACGATCTATACAATAGGTGTTGATCCTCCAAGTGCTTGCTCTGGGTATCTAACCAAAGGTATCTAAAAGGGGAAAACATTTTGAAAAGTGAACTAGGCTCAGTGTGTCCCATTATTTCAGTAAAAACATCATATGAAAAAAACCATCAATTATAAACCTGTCAAGTATCATGGAAATCCTAATAAAACATAAGATATTCAATCACATAGTATACCCTCCTCCCGTACACCAAATGCAGTTCTTAGAACTGCGTCCATGGGGCAACTTTATACACATTAGTATAAGGGGCCAACCTAAGGGAACAACTTGGGGCCCGAAAGCCTACCCAAGTGCCGCCTTAGGTCCGTAAGGATTTACCAGCTGGATTAGAGCTGTACCTATATACTCCAGCCTACCCAGATAATATCCCAATAACATATTTCAAATAACAAGTAAAGATTTACATGATCCTTATCCGGTAAAATAACACTATCCATTGAAACCAATTATTCAAATATCATATATAAAGTTCCATCATAGTTCATGAACCATCATCCATTGAATCATAAATTTCTAGTGAAATATATATATATATATATATATATATATATATATATCAAACCAGTTAAAACCATCAAACAGTACATAGGGAACACACCTCGATAATAGGGTCAAACTGTAGATATATTGCGTACTGGCCTCGCCATGCTCTGCTACAGTTTTCGAACCTAATTCATAACAACACTATATTATTAGTAGGTAACATAAAGTAAGACTTTTCGAAAAATTTGACTTTTGGTCAAAGTCAACGGTCAACGCTCGGTCAACAATTTTACACAAATATCGCCCTAACTGAAATTAATTACATATTAAGCACCATTTTAAAAATATTTACAAAACTAGCACCTGAGTTTTTTACACATTTCACAAGTCGGGTCAACGGATCGGGTCGGGTCGGTTCAGATCGGTAAAAAATGTCAGCCCCCTTTTCGAATCTCCCCCACGTATAGGGACGGTGGATGGGGGCACGTACGACCTCTTAAAGCCTCTAAAAATTCCCAAAAAAATTTCCTAAAATTCTTTTAAGCAATTTTGAGACACTTACCAGGCCCAGTTCAAAATTTTGAACAGTAGATAGCTCGATTTCAATAAATCTGAAACTTTGACCGCTTTACCTCCCTCATGCGCCGCCGTTGACGGAGACAAGGAGGACAACGGCGGACTCGAAACGACACAAGGAACACGATGGTGCGGGAGGTGTCGAAAACAGAGCAATGATCGGCGATGAATTAACGATTTTTACGATGATTTTGTTAAAAAAGTCAAAACTTTAAACTGAAATTCACAGCGTTTGGCAGCGTTTCACTTTAATTGATTTAAGGGGTTTGTTCATCATCGACGAACACGATGGTGGTTTCAAAATGACGATCGGAGGTCGAACGATGTCGGAATTGGGTTTAGAATTCGGGGTGTGGGAGGAGGAATGTTAAAGCAAATTAAGCTTTTGTGTTTATAGATTTTAATCGGAAAACACGTTTATAATACCAAACCTGTCGACACTTCTTGGAGAAATTTAGGGCTTGGTCCCTAAATTTCCTTCAACTTCTAAAATGGCTTACAAGTTCCTGAAACTTTTAAATTGAAACCCCAAATTATACCAATATTTTTTTTTTCGTTTTTCCTGGTTGTTACAATTCTCCCCCTCTACAAGAAATTTCGTCCTCAAAATTTACCTTATGAGAATAGTTGAGGAAACTGAGCCTGCATTAACTCCAATGTCTCCCAAGTAATTTCTGAGAGGCCTCAGTTACTCCATTGAACTTTGGTCATTGGTATACGCCTATTCCGAAGAACTCGCTCATCCCTTTCTAAGATCTGAATGGGCTCCTCCTCATATGAAAAATTAGGTCTCAGCTCTATTTCCTCAACCTAAATGATATGACTTGGATCTGGACAGTATCGCCTCAACATTGATACATGAAAAACATCATGAATACGACTGAGCTGGGGAGGCAACTCAAGTTGATATGCAACAGGTCCAACTCTCTTTAAGATACGAAATGGTCCAATAAATCTTGGACTCAATTTACCCTTACGCGTAAATCTCAATACCTTCTTTCACGGTGATACTTTTTAAAAAAACTGATCTTCAACCTCAAACTAAATATGTTTCCTTCTTTGATCTGTATAAGACTTTTGCCTATCAAATGCCTCTTTCAGACAGTCACATATCAATATGATTGTGTCCTCCGTCTCGCGCACTAACTTAGGTCCCAAAGTCTTCTTATCACGCAACTCAGTCCAATAGATCGGAGTGTGACATTTATGCCCATAGAGTGCTTCGTAGGGTGCTATACGAATGCTGGCCTGGTAACTATTATTGTAAGCAAATTCAGCCAAAGGCAAATAGTTCTCCCAACTACCATAGAAATCAATTACGTAACCCCATAACATATCCTCTAGAATCTGAATCACTCTCTCAGATTGACCATCAGTTTATGGGTGGAAGGATGTACTATAATCTAATCTCGTACCCAAAGTCGTATATAGCGCCTTCTAAAATCTCGAATTAAATCTCAGATCTCGATATGAAATGATAGATAATGGAACACCATGCAATTTGAAAATCTCTGAAATATACAACCTTGTTATCTTGTCCAATGTATAATTTACCCATACAGGAATGAAGTGAGCTGACTTTGTAAGCCTGTCAATAATCACCTAGACTGAATCCTTTTTCGAAAGAGTCTTAGGTAGGCCAGTAAAAAATTCATAGTAATACGCTCCTATTTCCATTCAAGAATCTTGATAGGCTGTAACAAACCTGACAGATGTTGATGTTCTGCCTTAACCTATTGACAAGTCAAACACCTAGCCATAAAATCTGAGATGTCTTTCTTCATGCCGATCCAATTATACCTCTCTCTTAAATTTTGGTACATCTTATCTCCACCGGGGTGCATAGCATATGGACTACTGTGAGCCTCATTAAGAATAGTCTGCCTCAACTTAGTATCATCAGACACACAATAGCGACCTTTGAAGTATAAAACTTCATCCTGATCAATGGCGTAATCTGAGCTTGTCCCCTGCTCTACTTGCTCAAAGATGGAAAGCAAGGATCTATCAAGGAGCTGCTTAGCTTTGATTTCATCAACCAAAGTCGATTTAACTTGCAGTTCTACTAAGAGAGTGTCATCGTCATATAAATTCATCATGGCCATTAAATACCTTAATTTTATTATCGCCTTTTGACTCAAAGCATCACCTACAACGTTAGCTTTACCAGGGTAATAATCAATCACGCAATCATAATCCTTTAGAAGCTCTAGCCAGCGACGCTGTCTCAAATTAAGCTCCTTCTGGGTCAGAATATACTTTAAGCTCTTATGATCCATGAAAATGTAACACTTCTCTCCATAAAGAAAGTGTCTCCAAATATTCAAGGCAAAAATCACTGCTGCTAGCTCCAAATCATGGGTCGGATAATTACGCTCATGCGGTCATAGCTGACAAAACTCATAAGCCACTACCTTACCGTCATACATTAGAACATAACCAAGTCCTAAGTGTGAAGCATCACTATACATTGTAAAATCCTTCCCGGACTCTGGTTGAATCAACACTGGTGCTTGAGTAAAAACCACCTTTAATTTCTCAAAGCTCTCCTGTTGTGCCTCGCCCCAGTCAAACGACATGTTCTTTCTTCACAACTTCCTCAAAGGAGCAGCAATGATCGAGAAACTCTCAATAAATTGTTGATAATATCCAACTAAGCCCAAGAAACTGCGAATCTCATAGACGTTATTGGGTCGTTTCCAATTTACAATAGCCTCGATCTTGCTTGGATCAACCTGAATACCACCTGCAGAAATAATATACCCCAAAAACGATACTTCTTGAAGCCAAAACTCACACTTCTTCAGCTTGGCATATAGTCGATGCTCTCTCAAGGTCCACAGAACGATCTTCAAATGCTCATCATGCTCTGCCTCAATCCGAGAATAGACTAGAATATCATCAATGAAGACGACTACAAATTCATCCAAATATGGCCGAAACACACGATTCATTAAATCCATGAATGTTGTAGGAGCGTTCGTCAATCCAAAGGTATCACCAAGAACTCATAATGACCATATCTAGTGCGAATGGCCGTCTTTGCAACATCAGACCCTTTAACTTTCAATTGATAATACCCCGAGCGAAAATCAATCTTAGAGAATACAATAGCTCCTCGTAATTGATCAAATATGTCATCAATCCTGGGTAGTGGGTACTTATTCTTGACCGTCATCTTGTTCAACTTCTAATAGTCAATACATAGCCTTAACGACCCATCATTCTTTTTAACAAACAGAACTGGAGCTCCCCAGGGTGAGGTACTACGCCGAATAAATCCCCGATCAAATAATTCTTGTAATTGGACTTTCAACTCCTTAAGTTCCTTTAGAGCCATGCGATAGGGTGCCATAGAAACAGGTGCAGATCCTGGATAAGAATCAATCTCGAACTCTACCTCTCTATCCGAAGATAACCCAGGCAACTCCTCCGGAAAGACATCAGAAAACTCACTAACTGTACGAATCTCCTCAATCGTGGACAAGGAACCTTTAGTGTTCAAAATACAAGCAATAAAATTCTCATATCCTTTCCAGACCATACGATCAATTTTCATAGCTGAAATTATATTAAAGAGATAGCCGCGACGTTCACCAATTAACAATATAGTTCGACCATCAGAAGTCTTCAGAGTAGCTCTCTTGTACTCGCAGTCCATATTTACCTTTTGTTTATTCAACCAATCCATCCCAAGAATTAAATCGAACTCCTCTAAAGGAAGCTCTATAAGATCAGTGAGAAAAATTTCTTCTTGAACCTCTAGTGGACAATACCAAAATATCTTATTCACTAGTACTGCTTATCTTATTGGACTCGTAACTATAATAGTATTATCAGTGTTTTCAATTGGAATCTGAAGATTTCAACATACTGACCTCGATACATAAGAGTGGGTGGAGCCATTGTCCAGTAATAAAAAGTATGGGATAGAATAAATAGTAAATGTACCTGCAATAACCTCAGGCTCATCTCTGTCATCCCGACGGCTGGTGGTGTAAACCAAAGCTGGTTATTTGTCCTCTAAAACTATAGGCTCTCAACTCTGCTAGGGTCGAGCTCTACTATCTGCTATGGATGCTGATCCAGAAGGCTTTCCCTGATTACTGCCTCTAGTTGGGGTCTGTACTGAAGCCTGAGAACGCATAGGAGTCTGGGTAGCGGTACGCTCAGAGGAAGCTAACTGGGGATAATCCCTTTGAAAATGACCGCTTGATCCACACTGATAGCAAAGACTCATTTATGACACTCTCCTCTGTGTCGATTACCACAATAATCACAAAGGGGCACCTGTGGCAACCCTGAAGAACCACCTTGACTAACCGCTGAAGGTGAAGATGTTGCAGGCCTAAAACATATATTGCTCCTCTGAGGGGTCGAAGTACGAGTCCTCTTCCCGGACTATACAGATGATTCGGTAGGGCCAAAAGATTTCTTAGATCGCTCCTAATCAACACGCTCTCTACCAGAAGCTAAATCCTCCATCTCCTCAGAATCCTTGGCTCTATTCACCAGCACATAAAAAATCTCATCTTGGTGGGTAACAACATGCCTACGTATCTTGTATCTGAGTTCGAGGGTAAATTTACGACATCGATCTCTCTTGGTTGGCACTAGACTGATTCCATACTTTAGCAATTTCAAGAACTCTATCTCATACTCTCAAACAGTCATGCCACCCTGAACCAGGTCCTGAAACTTCTATCGTCTCTGAACTAAATAACACTCTCCCAGAAAACGGCTCCTAAAGCGCTCCTTAAAGAAATCCCAAGTCAGACGATCAGCCGGAACACTACTGACCATTGACTCTCACCAGGTGTGGGAATTTCCATCTAACATCGCTACTTCACTCAGTAGGACCTGGTGAGAGTCAATGGTCAGTAGGACCTGGTGAGAGTCAATGGTCGCTACTTCACTCATGAGTCTTTCAGTATCCTGGAGCCAATATTCCTCTTCAGTAGGACCTCCACCAATCTGTCCCCTAAAAGTTTTGACTCCATTAGTAATCAGGGTCTAAGAAATAAACACCTCGGATACTACACCAGCAGCTCTGACCACTCCCTGTATCAACTGCAGAAATTGTCTACCAAAATTTTCATCTAATGCAACTCTGGTAGACTCGGGATAAATATCGATCGCTCCTCCAATTGGAGTAGTCATGCCAATACCAGCAGCAATTGGTATATTCGTTGGGGTCACATGAGAAGGATCATTTATCGGAGGTGGGGGATCTACACGTATCTCATCGATTAGATCTACAAATCTAGCCACTCTACCTGTCCCACGGCTAGTTCGACGACCACGTCTAACACTCATCTTGGTGAATCTCAAGTTTACTACATAAGACAAAACCTAGGGTTAGATTGGCACTTGGAGTCTCAAACACAATTTAAAATTGTAAAAACTTTTCAACATGTCCTTAGTAACTTGTTTTGTAAAACATTTCAAAACCGTATTTTCAATTTGGGCTTATTCACAGTCCTAGGTTTAAAAACCAAAAGCTCTTATACCAATCAAATGTTACCCCCTATACCCAGCCTGTGCGTTTTGACTAAGTCTAGCATATTACATTAAAGATTCTTAAAAACATTTTCCCAAAAACATTATTCCATAATTTGAAATCAAATTACAAATGACATCTGTAAAAGTATATAATAATTAGCAATAAAAATAAAATCAAACTCATGAATATAAAACTAAAAACAAAATAACAAATTAATTTAAAACATGTCGTAAAATCTGGATCACGAAAAATTAAATATCAGTAGTAAAAGCAATAGTAGTTATAAAATCAAATACTTCGAAATAAATGCCCATGTTTCAATAATAAAGTCAACTTGCAAAATAAAAACATTACATTCAGACGATCTATACAATAGGTGTTGATCCTCCAAGTGCTTGCTCTGGGTATCTGAAAAGGGGAAACATTTTGAAAAGTGAGCTAGGCTTAGTGTGTCCCATTATTTCAGTAAAAACATCATATGAAAAAAATCCATCAATTATAATCCTATCAAGTATCATGGAAATCCTGATAAAACATAAGTTATTAAATCACATAGTATACCCTCTTCCCGTACACCAAATGCAGTTCTTAGAACTACGTCCATAGGGCAACCTTATACATATTAGTATAAGGGTCTAACCTAAGGGAACATCTTCGGGCCCGAAAGCCTACCCAAGTGTCGCCTTAGGTCCGTAAGGATTTACCAGCTTGATCAGAGCTGTATTTTCATACTCCAGCCTACCCAGATAATATCCCAATAACATATTTCAAATAACAAGTAAAGATTTCCATGGTCCTTATCCGGTAAAATAACACCGTCTATTGAAACAAATTATTCAAATATAATATATAAAGTTCCATCATCCATTAAATCATAAATTTCTAGTGAAATATATATATATATATATATGGAGATATATATTTATCAAACCAATTAAAACCATCAAACCGTACATAGGGATCACACTTTGATAATAGGGTCAAACTGTAGATCTATTGCGTACTGGCCTTGCCACGCTCTGCTACAGTTTTTCGAACCTAATTCATAACAACACTATATTACTAGTAGGTAACATAATTAGTATTTTAGTTGCATGTTAGGTTAATTCACATTAATAGCCCATTTATTTTTTTGTTATGAATAAGTAATAATAAAACCAAAAAATAAGTCTATTTTCATTAGTGCTAGTCCACTTACATTAGTTTAAATAGGCCCAATACATAAGCACACTCTTTTATTACAAATATATATATGCATTAGTGCTAGTCTATTTACATTAGGGTTTATGGTTTAGATTTTAAGATTTAGTGTTTATAGTTTAAAGTTTAGGGTTTATGATTTAGGATTTTATAAACTATATACTTTATTACTTTATATAGTTTATGCATAGTATTTCTATAAACTACATAAATAATTTACTTTATATAGTTTATATATATATAGGTTATATATATATGTATATACTATACATGGTTTATACATACATGGTTTATATATATATATATATATAGTTTAGGGGTTAGGGTTTAGGGTTTAGGGTTTAAGGTTTCTATAAACTATATATTTTATTACTTTATATAGTTTATGCATAGTGTTTCTATAAACCATATATATATAATCTAGAAATTACTTATATTAGTTATACATACATGTGATTAGGGGGCATGTAGGTTGTATTTTGTTTTATATACAAGTATGAAACTTTGTTTTATTTCTGAATACGTAGAAATTTTATTTTGTATTCATAAATCATTTTATGATTTTACATGTTTTAATAAAATTTTTAAATTTTTCGCTATTTTTACGGTGGATCGCTCCGGTGGCCCTAATGTGACTCCCCGGATCGGATCGGGTTATCCGCATCGGTCTGAGGGGGTTACATCTATTTATATTAGGGTTTAGGGTTTAAAGTTTATGGTTTATGGTTTATGGTTTAGGATTTCTATAAATTATATACTTTATTACTTTATATAGTTTATGCATAGTGTTTCTATAAACTATATAAGTAATTTACTTTATATAATATATAGGGCTGAGCAACGAAACCGAGAAAACCGAAAAACCGACACGAACCGAGTAAAACGGTTTGGTTCGGTTTGGCTTTAAACGGTTCTGTTTTCGGTTCGGTTTAAAGGCTTCATTTTTTTGATTCGGTTCGGTTCGGGTTTTCCATATGGAACCCATTTGTTCCATATTGAACCGAATAGGCAATTTTTGTAAAAAAAATTATAGTTTCAAGTGATTGTTTTATTGAAAAACCGATAAACCGAACCGAACCGAAAAACCCGAACTGTTAAAAAAACCAAACCGAACTGAAAAAACCGGTTTCGATTTTTTCGGTTTTTTATCTATTCGGTTTCGGTTTAAATATTGAAAACCTGTTTATTTCAGTTCGGTTCAAGTTTTGGTAAAAAACCAAACCGAACCGAATACACCCCTAATAATATATATATATATAT